CCTCTTAATGTCCCGAGTTAAGCTAAACTGAGGATGTGGTATGCCAGGACACACTGCCCGCACTGTGGCTTGTGGACATTCGTCTTTTAAAAAAAGTTAAACTGGCATCTTAGTGTGTGCAGCTGACAATTTACTTCCAGTGCTTTGAAGTGGCTGATTGTAAATGCGATTGTGACACAGGCTAGAACCTGTTCGAGCACGTTTAAATACCTCCAGAGTTAATGTTTACATTCTGTTATTGTGATGGTGTTGTGCCGTTGAAGTTAGAAGTGTGAAACTGTTGTGGCTGCAATAGATTGCAATGCCCTTATTTGTAAACGTAATGGGTTTTCGAGACAAATATATACTATCGAAAAGTATAGCAAATGTTGCAGTTAAAATGTTCTGATTGAAGTATTTGTATAGAAAATACCTAAATTCGGGTCAGTGAATGGTGTGAAGTGCTATTTTAAGTAATGTAGGTGCATGTGGTGTGTGCCCGTCCACAGAGTGTAATGCGTGTGTGCAGATCATTTTGTGATACTGCATTGGCAGAGGCGCACGATCACAGACAACAATAATTCTGAACAACGTCGCCACAACAAAAGAAAAATAATATAATTGTCGACGCCTCGGGCAACTGGCCCTCACACCACAAGTTTGTTTAACAAAAATATATGATTGTGGAATGCTTTGATATTGTCTTGCCGACCGAGTTGCCCTTGAACAAATAGCTTCTCAATTAAATGGGCTTACGCTTATGATTCTGAAACGCCTGCCATAGAGACAGAGGCCATACATGTAATGTGCAGACAGACCTTGCGTTCGTGGTGTTGTGCATGCTGCCCTCTAGTGCGCTGTGAATATAGCAGCACAATTCTATAGTTGGCAGCACTTGGTGAGACGTCTGTCCATTTAAGGAAGATTGTTTTACATTTGTCGATATGTGTGCACTTGGAAAATGCACATGTGGTTATGGTTGTGCGGGAATTACAGTGATGGTGCGCCAATTAAGTTATTGGCCGTGATAGTAGAACGTTATGTATCGCAGGCAGGGGCGGAGATGCATGTTGAGTGCTGTTAGCGCTGGTGCTGCTATTCCAAGTATTCTGGATGTTCATGCCACACACGAAAGGAATTGTAATATTTACAGTAATTGCAAAGTTATAACACTGCAGTACATAGCACGAAACAACACTCCCTTCTGTTGTAACGCCGCTGTGAACTGGCACCTTCACAAAAACTTGATTGGCATCACTTTCAGTTTTCAGTTTATTTTTTATTTTGGTTTTGGTATTGCCCTGTGAGCCATTCGGCTCTTGAATCGGGTGCAACCACAACAAACAAAACAACACAAAACACGAACAAGAAAACATCTTAAAGTGACTCTGTGACTGTGCAAACAGAAAATGCATGAAAGAAAACAGCAAAATATTCCTGAAAAAAGCACCGTACACCAACGCTGTGCGCAAAAAAATCCCAGTGGGATGCAAGTCAAACAACAACCACAAGAAATTTTGATTTAAAGCTTTCGTGACTGCAGTAATTCATATTCTTAGTTCTTTCTTTTGTTGTTTCCCTTCAACGTGACTTTACCGAAAGAACTAAGAATATGAACCACAAGAAAATTTAGATTAAGGCCATCAGTCTAACTCCATACTACAATAAACAAACATAGCCAAACCAAAAAACTTTTCGAAATCACCAAAATAAAGCCATAAATGCAATGTAACAGTGATCATAAAAACACAACAGCACGCAAGAAATAACTGCAGGACTTAATACGTCTGAAATACAAAATTATACACTCGTGTGAACAAAAAATAAAGTATTTTAAAATGCTGCAAAAATAAGATGGGGTAACATTTTTACTTTGCAAGTTAAAATTATTGTTCGAGTCGTTTTGTTTTTATAGAAGTTACCGAGCGTAACCTGTCACGACGACTAGGCCCCAGTGCTTTTCTCTTGCCACATGTCCAAGCGTCATGATCGTGGTTCTGAGATGGATGATGATTGTCCAGACAGGATGTGGCAAATGCAAGGGAAGACACTCGGCACTCTTTAGGCCAATGCAAGAGAAACACGATTCGCTGAAGCTCGATTCTCCACACTTGAACATTCAGAATAATTTTTTTGGGTTAGGCTCCGTAATTATCTGGCTAAATGTGTCGTAAGAGCCTCCAACACCCGTCATAGCCAAATAAATTACGACAAACTAATGATTTGAAGCTTTCGTGGCTGCAAGGATTCATACTCTTTGATTTAGCCAGATCAGTATGTGGCCGAAACCAAAAATCAATTATGAATCATATTGGTTGTGAAACCTGCTACGTAAAAACACTTTGAGTGCCATGTGATGGCTCTTGTCAGAAAACAATAATTCTATTTTTCTGTTCCACATTTCACTTAAAATGTGACGAGGCAACCTGGATTTAATACTTATGTATTGGAAATACAGCATAACTGAGCTGATATTTGAATGTTTTTCACGGATAACTATGATATGCCTATTTTTAGACAAGTGTTTGCATATGAACAACAAGCTGAGACAAGTGTTGGTTATCTGGACAATCAGCACGCAATGTCCAGAGTTATGTGGACATATCACCTGTAATATCTTCCGTGAAATCTTCTGCAGTGATCCCGTGGTCTTAATACGTTTAACAATATCTGTACAGTGGAAGTGGTGTACAGCTGACACGAAGCAGGCATCTTTATTTGCATTGGATTCCATTCTTTTCTGTTCACCAGTCACGATGGGGGAGCTCATACAGCGACAATAAAAACTCTCAATCTATTCAAACATCATTGGCCATGCCCAGCACATATAATGTATGACTGTATGGTATGATTGTGGTTCGTGATCAAAGATGGATGAGGTGGAGTTAATTTTATGGATGAGGTAAATTACAACTGAAGGCCTTGCTATGTGTGAGTTTAAGGGGCTTCAGTTGCCGACAGGATGTGACAGAGACAGATGAACAATTAACAAACAGTGGAGTATTGTATACCCATTGTGTCATGTTTATGGCACGACTTAATACAAGACGGATGGTTGAGTCATCAGACTCATGGACCACACGTATACAGAGGACATGCCCATGTTCAAATGTGTGTTGTATTATTTCCCTTGTTTACCCAGGAAAGCCTCACCGAGTCTCAAGACTATTTTTCAAGAGGGTCCTGCCGGGGCCAATGTTGCGATGTGTAATCCCAATTTAGTAATTTTCTGGAAATGTGCAGCATTGAGATGTTTGGCCCGATACCAGTTGCGTTTAAAAAAAAAGCTATGGGAGGGAACCCACGATAAACAGGGGGAGAACATACACAGACAAAAGTAGACATGTGATCAAAGCAAAGTACAATAAAGTAAAACTAAATCATTTCAAAAATAACCGTGGAGTGAGATCACCGTGGGTGGGGTTGTTTTATTTAACTGGACACCTGTGAAACAGCTCTACAGCATCAAGCAAAGCGAGTGGGGACCCGTTGTGGCCGCCGGATCCAGCAGGCCGCCCTGGTGTATTCATCATAACATACGCACCTCGGCTGCTTCACAGTGGATGGTAAAATATCCTCTTGACATAATTTGCAAGAGTAAGGCCATTGTGTGCCTGCGTCATGATCAAAATTTAGCATAATTAAAACAAATACAATGCCGTTTATTCATTTGGGAATACACACAGAATCAAATGTAGTCTTTTTACACGTTTGCAATATATTTTGTTATACCTCGTGTGGTCGCTTTTTGCTTTATCTTTGTCCGGCTTAATTTCTTCTCTGTGATTTTAGTTTGTGTCATTGTGGTCACCCCAGGTCACTCTTTGTCTCTCGGGCTCTCTCCTGGCTGAGAAAAACGTGAACCGTGACCCCCATGGAATCGTGACAGACTGCGCCTGTGAATCACGGCCGCCTTCCTTCGCGAATACAAGAAACGTAGCGACAGTCGACCAAATGCGCTCCATTTCGTGATCAGAGGAAGGCCTTCTTGCTCTTTGCCCGAAACGTCGCCGATATATTTGTACTTTAATACGGCCGGTGTTGGGAATGCGGCGTTGTTGAATGTTTGTCTTGTTTGTGCACAACGCCACTGTCCACGCGAGATGTTGAGTGTGGATCTCATTGAAGTGGGGGCAGTGGGGGGTGAAGGGGGGGAGTGGGGGGTGAAGGGGGGGAGAGTGGGGGGTGAAGGGGGGGAGAGTGGGGGGTAGGGGGGGAGTGGGGGGTAGGGGGGAGTGGCGGGTGAAGGGGGGGATTGGGGGATGGAGGGGGGAAGTGGGGGGTGAAGAGGGGAGTGGGGGGTGGAGGGGGGGAGTGGGGGGTGAAGGGGGGGAGTGGGGGGTGAGGGGAGAGAGTGGGGGGTAGGGGGGGAGTGGGGGGTGAAGGGGGGGAGTGGGGGGTAGGGGGGGAGTGGGGGGTGAAGGGGGGAGTGGGGGGTGAAGGGGGGGAGTGGGGGGTGAGGGGAGAGAGTGGGGGGTGAAGGGGGGGAGTGGGGGGTGAAGGGGGGAGTGGGGGGTGAAGGGGGGGAGTGGGGGGTGAAGGGGGGAGAGGGGGGTGAAGGGGGGGAGTGGGGGGGGGAGTTGGAACAGGAGTGGGGCGGTGAGAGGGGGAGTTGGGGGGGTGCGTGGATCTGGAGGGAAAAACTCGCCTCTGGCACCGCACCACACGCCCCCGCCACCCCGCCGCCACCTCGCGCTGCGTCAGTTGTCTCGCGCGCCGCCATTGGTCAAACCGCAATTCAACAGGAAGCCGGCCAAGCCAATGGGGAGGGACCTCTCGCCGCCACGCGACGACCCGCCGGGATGTGACGTCGCGCCGCTCGCGTGGGCGCCGCGCCGCCATGTTGGGTGAGGGCGGCTCCCGCGCTCCCGGGGGCACGCAGGGTGGGAGGGAGCGTGACGTCACCGCGCGCCCCGCCGTAATCGCCGCCTTGCGGTCGCTACCAACCTGACCCAAGATGGCGGCCGCGCGGTCTCGGCGCGAGTGACCGCAGCGGGGCGGAGCCGCGGGAGGCTCACCTCGGCGCGACACCACCAAGCGGCGGCAGCGGCGCCTCGCTCCTTCCCCCTCCCCGCCCGTTGCGCCCGTTGCGTCTCGCCTCCCTCTATTGTTACCTCCTCTCTCTCGTCCCACCGCGACCACATCGCTCGTACGGCAACGGCTCGCCGAGTGCCGTCGCTCTCTCGCCCTGCTGCTGCCGGGGCTGTCGTCTCGCTCCCAAAATCTTCGCCATTGTTGAGACTTTTTTCGTTCTCCTCGCGGCCTCCCGACCCCCTCCCCATCGCATCCGCGCCTTCGCCCGACTTCGCGGAGTCCGCGACAACCAAACAACAACAGCAGCAGCAGCGGTAACAACAACCGCCGAGAAACAGGCGATCGTTCCAGCATGGGCTGCACGCTGAGCACCGAGGACAAGGCGGCCGTGGAGAGGTCGCGCATGATCGACAGGAACCTTCGAGAGGACGGGGAGAAGGCGTCCCGAGAGGTCAAGCTGCTTTTGCTCGGTGCGTCCCACACACGCCACACACAACACACAACGCACGCGGCATACACAAATGTGTACCGACGGTCGCGTATACTCACACGAATGACCATGCCTACAAAGACATAGATTCCCCGTGTAGCCTGTAACAGACTGTTGGGGCAAGTGCTGTTAACGAGCAGTTATGAAGGCCGGGATGGCACACGAGGGTTGTGGGTGTCCAGTACCACGCCCGTCCGCCTTTGTGTCCATAGTGGTGATGTTTACACACCGCACCGGGGACTCGTTTGAGGCTGAGTCGACCTAGGGGAGACCCAGGACCGGTTAAAATAGTCACGGTTAGTTGGCAGTGAGCGGGAATCTTAACTCGGGGACGCCGGGTTGGTAGCGCAGCGCGCTAACCGCTACACTGTTGGGGCAAGTGTGTGTTAGAGAGCACCTTCATCCTTTATCAGAAGGTTGCCAGAACCACGCCCGGCCGCCTTTGTGTCCTTATTGGCGGTGTTTACACATCGCACCGGGTTTGTCGCCTAATCAAATTGTAAATGTTGTGGGTTTATTCTCCAACACACCGGTGTGCTGTCCGAGTAACGAATTGGCGCGTTAACTTCACGTGACAAACCTCAATAATTGGTTGTCGGGTGGTGTCGGGTTTAACGACACATTTTTCTTCTTTGGTTCTTTCGGTAAAGTCACGTAGAATGAGAATAAAATAATAAATTGATAAAATAAAATAACAATAATATTCTCACGACGTTTCGGCCACAACACAAGCGGCCTTCATCAGGTGAAGGGGACGAGACTGTCTGGAGGACAGCGCTGACACATTTTTATTTACGCGATCTCACCCCCCCCCCCCAAAAAACCTACATTATAGATGATATTGGTCGCGAAAGTCGACTTGTTAAACAGAGCGTACGCTCCACACTAACTCCACAAACACAGCTCTCCACATCACACACACAGGACAATACAGTAATAACACGGCAGAATTAAATGATATAATAGGCAAACCTCGCATAGATCTCATCAATTATTCACAACCTCATGCTGCTCGCATCACACAGACGCAGTCTCAAGATAGAGATCCCCCATGTAGCCTACAGACTGTTGGGGCAGGTACACAGGGCACAATGACACGCGGGTACAAACAGACCTTGGCTATCCTTCGCAGCTATTGGGGCAGCCACAATGCGGCACAGACAAACGCCATCCCCTCTATACATCACCCCCCAAGTCGGGGTACCCTCACCTCTTGCTGAACAGGCAAGAGATATTGCGAGCAAACCGCGTGCGTGTGGCGGAGATCGTCGTCACCATCAGCCCGGAATATCCTCGTCTTCGCAGAAGGCTGCTGGCTGCTGCTGGTGATGATGATTACAATCTGCTTGCCGCAGTGGAAACGACTCAAAAGTGGAATGCTGTTGCTCGCCGTGTCAGTCACAGGCTGTGGTCGAGCGTGTTCATGTGCCGCCCCCCAGCCAGCCAGCCGCCTTAGCACCGCCACGCGTGTGTTGTGTCCACACGGCCGACCGCCGTCTACACCCCGCCGCATGCTGTGGGGGCCCCGCACGTTTCCCGAGGAACTCCATCCACACAGAGACGTAGAGAGACCAGCGACGACGAACGCGTCGACTGTGGCCGGCTGAGTTGAATGTTACTCGGGAGAGGGCTGTTGTTGTCGGTACTGGCTCTTGCGAGAGCGGGGGGCGAGGCGAGAGAAGAGAGGCGTGGAGGAAGAGGCCGTGGGATGTCTCTGCCTCTCTTCACCACCGACCGTTTTAACCAAGCACGAAGTACTGGACATCTGTGAAAAGGGGCTTCATAGCGTAGCGGATTCCTACAGTACAAATACATGTTCTGATTCTGAATCTTCAAGCAAGCGTGTAACCGTTTCTGAATCTTCAAGCAAGCGTGTAACGTGATCTATTCCAAGTTAAAGTGACAAATTAAGCGACTGCGTTGGCAGTGGTGCACACGAGAACATGGCACGCAAACACAAAAAAACCTCGCTGCCTTCAGCCATGGGCACTGCGGCTGCCCTGTCACCGATGAGCAGTTGCTTCGTCCTAATAGCCTAACAACGTGTGTCCCCAGCAGTAGCCCAATAGCCTAACAACTTGTGTCCCCAGCAGTAGCCCAATAGCCTAACAACGTGTGTCCCCAGCAGTAGCCCAATAGCCTAACAACGTGTGTCCCCAGCAGTAGCCCAATAGCCTAACAACGTGTGTCCCCAGCAGTAGCCCAATAGCCTAACAACGTGTGTCCCCAGCAGTAGCCCAATAGGCTAACAACGTGTGTCCCCAGCAGTAGCCCAATAGGCTAACAACGTGTGTCCCCAGCAGTAGCCCAATAGGCTAACAACGTGTGTCCCCAGCAGTAGCCCGAAGACTCGCACTGGTGTCGTTCGTGTTTGAAGTTAATTCAAATGAACCTTCACACGAGAGGTGAAGAGAGTGGAGGGCTGATCCCGGGGTTTGTGTGGTTGTTTCTATTGCAGGTGCTGGAGAATCGGGGAAGAGCACCATAGTGAAGCAGATGAAGTAAGTTGGTTGAATGTCACACTTGAAGCCCATGTTCTCAACCTTTTTTATATGCTCCCCCCATCAAATGAAGGCGACTGGTCTCCCCCCCCCCCACCAGCTCCACTCATGAGCTTAATCATGTCTGTTGGCACCCATGAGGTGCGTGAACATGTCGCTCTAAATTGCGGTTGACACTCGTGCGTGTCCGCTGCTTTGGCTGCGATTCCATCTTTGGTCTCAACCACTGGCAATCATCCCGTACATCAACGGGTCCTGCCGAAGCACACTTATTCAACAGTAAACATCCCCTAGTGTCCACTATCCGATCTTTCAAGGTAATACTTAAACATTCTTGGAAAGGAGCTGCTAAATTTTGGAAGACGGCGTGACCAACTTCATCACTGTACAAATAATGCCATTAAGCGGAAACATACATGCGTATATGTGTATGTTGAACTTCTTTCGCACTGTGCTCAACCAACCATAACCAACCACGAGGCCTGTCGTGTTTTAATGAGACGTTGATATTAAACATGATAATATTTTGTGTTCCCCCTCACCTTTCCGTCCCGTGTTTTCAGAATTATTCACGAGGCTGGCTACACAGAGGAGGAATGTAAACAGTACAAGGCTGTAGTGTACAGCAACACCATCCAGTCGGTCATCGCCATCATCAGGGCAATGGGAAACCTGAGAATTGATTTTGGGGATGCTGGACGGGCGGTAAGTAAACATCATTGTGTGCAAGTTTCATTGTTTCTACAAGGAATCAAATAATCATTCAATTAATATTTTACACATGTTACTACATTGAGACGATCCGAAAATTGCGGTGTTGGACAGATAACCCGGCAAGAACAATTGTTGTCTTCCTTTGTGTTAGGTTTAACTGTTGCATGTCAGTATAGATTGGTTCTGCGTTTTCACGCACACATTTGAAACAGTTTTTTTTACGTATGCTCGAGGTATTTATTTCTATATTACTCAAAACGAACATGGGCCTGTCGTGTAGTGGAACATTTCCTGTGTATTCCAGACAAAAAAGGGTGTGGTTAGGCAGAGGGAAATGACAAGTCGCTCGCATTTTACACACTGAATAATATCTGAATGAACATTTATCGATAAACAAAATGTGCACCGAAAAAAATATTATTGGTTTGTCGAATGCATTAGGAGCTGTGCGAGTGGTTATTTGGCAGGAAATGTCATTCGAACATGGTTTGTAATTGTATCCAGCCTGAATCCTTGTTGCAATACACCTCCCCCTGCCTGCTAATCACGATCAGGTGGTAAGGTTTGCCCATGTGAAGCCACCTTGTATGTGAAACATTGCCCCTGGTTCATGCTTTTGTTAATCGCATTGCTGGGTTCTTTTTTTTTATGGAAAGTGACCGAACTATAAAGGGTTTAGCATTTGAATGCTTTTCCTGCCATGCCTCCGCTGAACCAGCCTTTAGATTGAACACAAACATTTCGCCCTTGTGTTCGTGAAGCTGCAAAGCTACCGCTGGGCACTAACTCAAACATGGACATTGGTTTCTGCTTTCCAGTGTTTCAAAATAAGTCCTAATGGCTTCATAAGGTTTGCCATGCAGAAAGGAAATGTATTATGGTGCTCAACAAGCAATGGGCAGCCTTTTGAGATATAGCGAGTTAGAGGTTTTAACCATGTGTTATGAAAACTCTCTTAAAACTAAACCTACACATGTAGGTGTGTCTTCATGAAAATAATAAAATGTAACACATGGCTGGGTAGTTAGCAGAGCTGCTACCATTCCTTGTTAAATTTTGTTGGCCTAATTCTCATTTGTGAGCTGGGTGTTTTAGCAGTCTGTTACCAGCATAAATACATTTATAAAATAATTACCAGTTAAAGTTATTGGACAAATCTGAGGTGTCCTTAAGTGATATATATTAATATCACATATTCAACCTAAATGTATGCTTAGAAATAGAGTAACAAGTGTGCGGTTATATAATTCGAAAGGAGCTGTTGCTCGTGCAGTTAATTCGATGATGCACCAAGGTAATTATCTGACACTTGGTCTGCGTGCAGGATGATGCGCGGCAGCTGTTTGTGCTGGCGGGGTCGGCGGAAGATGGGCTGATGACACCCGAGCTGGCGCAAGTCATCAAGCGGCTGTGGGCAGATCCGGGCGTGCAGGCGTGCTTTCGGCGAGCCCGCGAGTACCAGCTCAATGACTCGGCTGCATAGTGAGTAACTCGCTTTGAGTTTTTATGTTTTATTACAGCATTTAACTAATTTATAATAAAAGCATGAATGCACAGGATAAAGTTATGTTTTTTTTTTTTTCCAACTGGCTTGAGGCTGAATCGAGAGGAACAGGATTTTACCAGCAATCACTTTGCAACCTGTTTTTGGCTCTTTGCATGATTCGACTTGCTCATTTTGGAGTACCGATGAGCTGGTCAATTGTCGCATAAACACTTTTATATCTGTAAAGTTATGGGTTAAGGCCGTATTCTTTAACTGGCAGCCTCGGTACCGCATGTGGCACCCGAAGGCCCGGGGCATAGCTGACATAATGCAATGATCCCCAAGTGCATAGTGTCATCACCCACTTTTACTTAAATTGTAGTCAGGGCTTGGTGGATTGCCCGTGCACTACTCTGGGCAAGATGAGGTGGAGCAGTGATTATTGTGCTTTGCAACGCAACAACGTGGATCATTCTTTGTGGTTTCTAAAGTTGAATTTATTGCACATTCCTCGTGCTTTATATTAGTTAGCACTGACTTCCAGGTGCCTGTGGCCAAAGATTCGTAACCATTGGAGGTCACTTCTCATCTTCCACGTGTGTCCAAGAGAGAGAGAGAGACGAAGCAACAAAACTCTAATTGCATCCAATGCGTCTTTTATTTAAGACTGCCGGTGTGAAACCTGAACTCTTGAGGGATCGCACCTCCAACTAGCACGGTTGGCTACTTACGGTGTGAAATAAATAAAATATACGTACATAAAACTGACAATGGAGAGAACATGAGAGGCACAGTGTGTTTGTTAATTACAAAATAAGTACTAGTTTGTTCAAAGAACTGAAATAAGTCGATAGCCTTTTTTGGTGGCCTTTTGGGTTTGTTAGACGGAAGTTTTTGGAATCGGTTTAGCATGTAGGATTTCGCGACCAATATTATCCATAATAAAGGTTTTTTGGGTTATATCGCGGAAATATAAATGTTGTTAAACCCGCCAATTAGTAAGGGTTGTCAATTAAACAAAACGTGCCAATTAGTTACTACATCGGCACCAGTGTGTTGGAGAGTAAACCCACAACATTCACAATTCGAGTATGACATTTCGCTGGCGATGACAACAACTAGCTTCATCAGGCAATAGCCGGAATTGTGAAAAAAGATTTTGGAATGTGTGCCTTGCATCAGCAACATGCAATTCGATATGACGTGCCCTTGTGGTTGTCATGGCAACCACAAGGGCACGTGTGATGGTGATGAGCTGTTGGTTTATCAAGGTACATAACATGCTACCATGTAACATAACATCCTAAGCCTATAAAACATAGACGTTACAACAATTGTAGGTGACTTTGTGCAATAAGTGAATAGGGCACTATGCATGCCCTGGTGACGAAAGCATTACTTGGCGTCTTCTCCGACAGGTGACACACAGTCCATTGTTAAACATATATTTATAACCAATCTCATTTGTTGTACAGGTACAATTTACCTTATTTTACACGTTCAGTGCATCACTTCCATTGAAATAGATGTTTTTGTGCTCGCAATGTTTGCATATTGAATCGTGCGTGTGAGACTCGTAAATTATGTGCTAATGTTGGGCAATACAGGGACTCCTCTACTTACAAACGAGAGAGGTTTCAGAGGTCTGTTCGTCAGTCGATTTGTTCGTAAGTCCAACTTTACTCCTGTCGATTCCAAACATGTTCTACGACATGTACACTAAACACGGGGAATGGCTTTAAATGTATAATCTCCTGTAGATGTTGATGCCACTGGTTCTTCATGTTCTGCAGATGTAGGTGCCACTGGTTCTTCGTGTTCTGCAGATGTAGATGCCACCACCGCCATCTATTGCGCGGCGGTCGAACTTACGACACTCCGTTCTGTATGTCCAGGCAACTGGACATACGGACAGGTTTGCTCGTATCTCTGAAAGTTCATAGGTCGGACGTTCGTAAGTGGAGGAGTCCCTGTATTTTGAAAATAAATGCAGTACAACAAAAAAACGAGGAACTATACAAACAATACAGTAAATAGCAGCATGAGGGAATACATTCTGGAATCGTATCACAATCAGTCATGACAGTTGAGTCACGGTGGGGTGAATCTTGAATCATTACATGGTTGCAGTTGCGATGAGTCAATTCACGAGTTAGATTCTTATATTACAGTAGTCCCTCGGTTAACGTTTTTTTATCCGTTTCACAAAAACTACTGTGAACGCAAATAACTGTTAATCGAATACAGTATAGGAATAACACGTTAAAAGCATTAATGCGGAATGTAAACTAAGCCATGAGAGTCTAAACGCTCAAAAATAGCCGTTGCCGATTGGCTGAGGGCACGCCCCATTTACGGTTTGGCCAAAATTGGCGCCCGCGTGCATGACGCAAACACGTTACTGTTAATCAAAATTTTATCGTTGAGCAAAACTACGGGGTCCTATGGGAAGCGAAACGTTAACCGAAAAACCGTGAACCGATGTCACTGTTAGCCGAGGGACTGCTATGCTGGTGTAATGTCGTGTTTGTTGGTGGTTGTGTAACCCAGCGCTTTGTCGGCGCGGTGGGGCTTGTGAGATTCATGCGACTCGGATGCAAGCTGGCCAGGAAATGACAGCACATGTTTGAGCTGGTATCCCCTTGTACTTGTGGGTTTTTTTCAAGGGGCTGCAGCTTCCTGATACGCGTAAACACATTGCATAATAACTTGAAACATTACGCAGTGATTTAAATACGATCCCATTGCTCGGGTTTGGATGAAATTAAAGTTCCGATACACATTTTGAAGCATAGGATTATAGATTGCATAGGGTCAGTTTGGAATCCTATTGTTAATAATAAACGATTGACATTCCTACTAATTACGATGTCCCCCTACAACACTACACGAGTTACTCCGATAACACATTGGTACAGTAGTTGTAATTCTATTTTTTTATATTTGCATAACATATGCGAATACATTATTTGAATCTATAGGGCAAGCGATTGCCCTTCCTTGCCTCGATTCCCTGCTAGGCTCTCTGGGCCAGGTTGTGCAACCAGAGAGCAAGGCGGGGGGACACAGATTTCCATGCCTTTACCTTTATTCGTTTTTTTAGGACATGGAACTTGGTTGAATTTGACTTGTTTTGCAAAACAGAAGCAAATAAGTTGCACTGTATGAACATGTTTCTATTATCCCAGCCTTCGTGTGGATAAGAGGAGTGACTTGATGTGGCAACACATTCATCCTATTTTACGTGTTGATCCGCAATTTTCTACTTGAATCGGAGGAAAATGAATGGATAAACACGTATATAATTGGATCTGAGACTATCAATAATACGGATTAGCATCTGCTTTTACTTACCAGGAGGCAGGTGATTCAAAAACGTTACACTGATGAAAAGTTGTGGCTGGGTTTGAGTGTGACATGGCATTCTTGCACCTCTGGTGTGAAAGCTTCCTTTTTGTGATGGCGATAAAAAATAAAATAATTGACCCTACGTTTGGAATTTCGAATGGACGTGTGACTTCCAGATCATAACCACAAACAGTGTGGGAATTTGCCCTTTCCAGTTGCGTTTTTGTCTTTTGCGATACCTTTAGAGGGTTGTCATGTTCCATATCAAAACTCTTACCTTGACGAGCGGGAACACCGTAAAGTAGAAAGTCCAATTTGTGTGCTGCATATGGGGGCACCGCTTTGTACGGGGCAGAGGGAGCTTTGCATTCTGCAATCTCGAGTGCTTGTTCAGTACTAATGTAAAACCTCTTGAGTCCGACTAACCTCCGCCCCTTGTTATTGATTTACGCAGCAGTTTGTAATGTATACTCTTTGGTTTTTTCGGTAAAGTCACGTAGGTAAAATAGAATAAATTAAAATAAAAGAAAACAATTAAATCACGACGTTTCGGAGGCAACACAAGCTTCCGTCTTCAGGTGGAACAGTCACAGCAAGATCGCTGCATCAAGTGGGGAGGCTCTGAGAGCCTCGAGTTTTAAATGCAGGTTAAGGGGGGGGAGGAGCCAAGTAGGGCACATTGATGTTGTGCGGAGCTAAGTTAATCCGTCTTTTGTTATGTTGAGGGTGCGGGGGATGCGGTGGGTCACTGCAAGGGGCAATGGAAAAATGGAAACAAATGGAAAAGTTTGGAAAGAATATGCTGTGTGCTTATAAGGTAGCTAAAGTTTTAACTTGGTTTATGACATGTTTCCAGTGGTTGCTTAATTTAAAACCATCCTCTCGATTGAAGTTGTGTCTATGTTTGTATATCTGGATGGCTTCATTGACAAATCTTTGGTAATAACCGGGAGGTTTGCATGGTTCTTTTGGTATCGGAGAAAACAATCTCATGAGAACCCGCTGTGATGAAACAATGATCAGCCACGGCCGACGAATTGGTTCTGCCGTGTTTCAAATCTGATTTGTGCTCGCGAATTCGGTCAGAAATATGTCGTTTTGTCTCCCCGATATAGCAGTCACCGCAGATACAACTCAGTTTGTAAACACCGGGGTACTGTAAGTCAGGGATGACATCCTTTACGGATGGGATCAGATCACGGATTTTGTGTACTGTATTGAATTGAACCTGGATCTTGTGTTTGTTTAGAATTTTGGAAATCTTTTTGGTAACGCCTGCTATGTATGGCAGTGTGATGATTTTGATCGGAGTGTCAAGTGGTTGTTTCTGTATGGTGGGAGAAACAGCTTGGCGGATGATACGGTCAGAGTAACCGTTCATCTTGAGGGCTAGATGTACATGTTTTAATTCACTGGTCAGGTGGTGTTGGTCAGAAATGCAATGAGCTCTATGGTATAATGTTTTGATGAGAGAATTCTTTTGAGCCGGGTGGTGGTGGGAATCAGGCTTCAAGTAGGAATCCGTGTGGGTGGGTTTCCTGTAGACAGAATGCCCCAATGAGCCATCCTCTCAAACAGAACATCCAAGAAAGGCAGCTTGCCATCTTTCTCCACTTCCATGGTGAATTTGATGGATGGGTGTCTGGAA